ACAAGCATGAGAAAAACAAAGCTTTCATTTTTTCTGTCAAATGAACTTTCTCCAATCTAGATGATATGACATCCTTTTTTAAAACTTGCCCTAGTTTTCACTTCATACCTCTTCCAAACTACTCTTAAGATACCAGAAGGTGATTTGATATTTGAGAGCTTACATGAGCTCAGCCGCACAAATACAGTGGAGCAATGATCAGTCAGAATGAATCATCAGAGCAATAAATTGTTATCTTTTCTCCAAGAAGCATGAAATAATTCATAAAATCAGTGATGAAAATGACTGAATCTTAACTTTGTAAAATCTTTTTGCAAATTAGGATGAAGGCAAGAAATGTAAAATATGTGCCTTGCTTAAATTTATACTATCAAGGCACCCAAAAATAATACGATCAGAGAGACTAGGCCTGTGAAGCCAGATATACAAAATAAGTTGGCCAGGTACCTAGCCTGGTTCAGTTTCATGCATACTTTAATAACTGTGAAAACAGCCTTCAGTGCCCAAAGGCAACCCTTTCTTCCCCTTCTGCCTTATTTTTAAAGAAACTCATTAACTGCTTAGCTATAGATATTCTTAGCTAGAATGCAGGCTAGCCTAAATCCTCATCTATAGAAATCTGGCCAAAGACTTTGAAGGTGGCTCTGCTTCACCTCTCAGGAATTCAAGAGTTCTTAGTACTTAACACAATCCTTCTAGAAATCCTTCAAGCACCTGAAGACAGAGCCAATGGGATACTATTAACTCCACCTCTTCTGATTGGAAGGCGAGGCTTAACTTTTATTTTTTATTTTATTTTGCCATCCAATAGAGACTAAACTCTCCTCCTCAGTCTTAGCTTGCCTTCTGAAGAAGAATGGCTTACTTGTGGCTCTATTTTAGGCTAAGGGATCAAAAAATGAGAACAAGAGAAAGAGCAAGGAGGAGGAGAACTACAAAATGAAGAAGTGAAAAAATACTTTTAGAAACAGAGAAAGAAGAAGTCAAATACAAACTGGCAGAGAAAGATCTACATCTTGCCCTTTCCATTTCCTGCCTTTTCCCCGAGTCTTTTCCTTGTGTCATTGGCAAGATTGGGAGGATGATGACAGTGGCCATAGATATGGCGCCATCAGTACATTTTCATTCCAGACCATCTCATTGATTCCTGTTCCAAAAACAAAAACCTGCCGATCTCAACTGTGCCTGACAGTCCCACAGACAGTGGCCAATTCCTTGTTCTGGTGGCTGGAGCCAGTCAGTCTGACTAGAGAGATGTCATTTAGACAGCTGAATAGAGAACAGCTAACCATAGGCTGGGGAAGCCATCTTCAGTCCTGCTCAGCCTAAAGCCAATAGTCCCAGTTGTAACTGCCAATTAATCGCCTGGAACTGAGAGCAGTTTTGTTTGGCACTGATGGACCTGGAGTCTCTGATGAGGGGAAGAGATATTCAGATAAGAACAGGATCACAGCAAAGGCCTACATCATGACAGATGGAAGGGCCTTCAGAAGAAGGCGGACAGATGCAGACAGACATCTAACCTCCATGTTGGCAGAATACAACAGGGTGTTTTTCAGAGAAAAAGTACATACACTCAGAGATCTTCCAGAAGATATTGAAAGATGGAAAGTCTCCTTAGTTAGCCTATTTGCAACAGTGGTAACAATGAACAACAGGCAGTGCAGTTGTTTATTCTCCTGTTTCCGGAACAATAGGGCAGAGGGAATTGATACACCATTGCCAGAGGTTCTTCTCTACACTTTTTCTTCCAAAACATCAACCCTGCCCAGTATACCACAAAAGATAAAGTTTCTCAGGATGCCAGTAAATTTGTTTATCCCATTCCAGCCCAGGAGGCTGTTGTTTTCAGCAGTAATGAAGATGAGCAAACAAACAAATAAATCACACATACATACATACATACATACATACATACATACATACATACAACCTTTATGGCATTTGCCAGTTCAAACAGATTTGTTGAACCAGTAACCAATTCCTCATCCAGATCCAGAGTGGTTATGATTTTGTGCCTGGAGATTCAGCAACTTTAACAGGTATGAACTCCAACTCCCAGAATTCCCCAGCCAGCATGGGGAATTGGAGTCCACACCTCTCAAAGTTGCCAAGGCTGAGAAACACTAGTCTAGAGTAGAGAGAAAAGTACTATGTTCCGCCAATAGATGGGTCATTGGTGTATGACCAGCTAGCAACAACCAGCTTCCTGAGGGCATTACTGCCCACTTGGCCAGAAGAATGGCTGCGTCAATAGTCCTGTCAGGTGAGCAGCCCTGGTAAACATTTGTAAGGTGACCTATAAAAGGTTGTACAATAGGCAAGTTCACATTTCAGTGCACCATTCTGCAAAAGGTGCCTACATTTTTTCTGATCCTTACCCCTGGCTACTGCTATAGTTAATCCTCTTCTGCCAGTTCCATGTTCCGGTGATCAAAATGCTTTTCTCACCGAAGTTGGACCTGATGGTCCCACCCAGGCAAGGACTTCTTAAGAGTCATTACAGGCATCTGCAAGAAATGCTTATGTCCACTATGGACCACCTAGTTGTTTATTGATAGTTATACCACATGTTTTGGGCGCAGTTGGATTTGAATAATAAAACTTTTGCTTAGGCTACTTTTCAGCTGAAGTCAATTCATGTGACTGAGGAGGATGGATTAGCCTTCCTGGATGGTCAAAAAAGTTTAACCCCTGCCTTCTAGCTAGAAAAGGTGGGGTTAACACCCTCATTTGGGATTTAGCTTTGGTGACCAGATGGTTAACTTCCCAGTAAATCCAAGTACCATTTGATCTTGTCTTCAAAACCCCCAAGAAAGGGAATCCCTTGGATAACTTTTCTATGGATAAATTTAAAAGCCAATGGAGGCTCTTAAGCTCTTTAACTTAATGTTTGAAGAAAATGTAATAAAGCAGATAATAAGACTACACATTTCTATGTAGCTAGGGGGGAAAAAAGAATGATTATTACTGCCTGGAATAAATTTATGAAGAACAAATTGTACTCATCTAAGGTGGTTTCCTTTTCTGATGGAATAAACTTCATGTAGCAGATAAGGAGAACAAATTAATATAATATATCTTGCTAATTCAAATTTTCAAGTCCTGCTATCTTAGTGTTGGAAGGGGAATTTAGTTTGCAACTTATCATGATGATATCAATTTTCCAATTTGCTTTTCTCTACACCCTTTTCTTTTATACTATTTCCATTTATATGACTTTTCTTGTCAATTCCCAAAGCAAATTGCAATACATACATGTTCACTTGCTTCTTACCTTGTCTTTTTTTCCAAAACATCTGAAACTATTATTTCATGACAAATTCCTCCCAATTCATTTGCATGCTTTGCTCTATTAGCTAATTCTTCCAAATTTGTAATCATCAGCTCAAAATGTTAATCTGTAACTCTTGCACAATTTTCTAATGCGAAGGATTGGATCCCATGCATTTCAAGAACGTTCAGAACATCTTCTGTTTGGCCTGGTTTAGATAGACTATATTTTTGGGTGTAATTATTATCAGCAATGTTGCGAAACACCTTTTTAAAATTTGACACTGTGTTTTTGGCATTGTTCTTCTCATTCTCAGTTAAAGTCACTTACTGATATCTTCACATAATCAAATGTGTTTGCCTATGCTGCATTGCCTGTCATTCTCCTCACTGTATGAGACCTGATTTCATGCAAGAAAAGGTGCCTTTATATTCAGTTATCTTTCTTTTCTTCCAATGACCATAATTAAAGTAGTCAAATCTCATTAGATATGCAACATTTGATATCATATTCATTATGCAAATCCCCAATTTTTGGGGATCCTCATATTAATATTTTAGGAAGCAAGGAAAAGTGGCTTAGAAGCAGTAATATCCTGTTGTGTTATGTAAACATTAATGCCCAAGGTGTGACATATTCAAACATAATGTTTTGGAAAGTATTTCTATTCCCCCAAATCACTATTTTCACACTGAAAATTTAAACGAAAGAATATTAAATATCTAACTGTATGTTCATATAGCAAGTCAAAACTCTTCACCTGATACAAATTTACATCAGGAAATCATTTCCTCCTTTTTTATTGCCAGGTGTGAATGGCATTCCTTATGCAATCAAAGCACAAGTTATGCAGGTCCCCAAAATACTTAGGGGATGTGTGTGTAAAAGTGATTTAAGAAAATCTCAAAACAGTTCAGTGGGGACTGAGCATGCTCAATATAGAAAGGGGGACAGAAAACGGAACAGAGTATCAAGGTTTAGGGTATGAATTATTTACTTTCTTACTTGCATGAGATTATAGCCAGGTCCTGTCCTGAGACTTTGAGTGGTTAAGAATTCCCCAAGAAAATAATAAGATTAAACTACAAATATAAAATTAAAAATTAACATTAAACAACAGTCAAATAAAAACCAAGGACTGGCACCCTCATTCACCCTCAGGAACATCTATTGCATCTTCAAACACTTTACAGAAGAGCCAGGTCTCTGAAATACTAACAGGTTGGGACCATTGTTATATCCAGGGTAAACTGTTCCAATGGAAGGGAGCCATCAACCTATCACTGACATTCTCAGGGAGGCACCCATAACATGCCCTCTCTATTAGTTATCACTGGATGGGCAGAATTCAGTTGGAGTAGGCAGCCTCATAGATACTCAGGCCCCAAACCATACCAAGATTTAAAGGTGATAATTAGCACCTTGAATTGCACCCAGAAGTCAACTGGTAACCAATGAAGCTCCTGCCATGGAGGAGACACACGGGTAACATGAAGAGAACCCATCACCACATGAACTGCCACATTTTGAACCAGCTGTAGATTCCAAGTTGTCTTCAAGGGCAACCAGTGTAGAATTAATTACAGTGGTAAAGATGTGAGGTGAGAAGGATATAAGTGACCATCTATAACCAACTAGCATAATGCACAGAAGCATTTCATATGGCCATATTTTGTTACAAACCTCAGTTTTTAAGCATTGTCTGCATATGTTTGTTTGCTCTCACCTAGAAAAGCAGAGGGTGAGACAGTCCCATTGCTTCTAGCTACCATGACACTAATACCCGTCTCCACAAAAGGTACAGAGAAATCTATAATTTGTGAGCGTTCCTCATTGATGGTGAGAGACCCAATGGCCATATCTGCTCGCTTGTAATATACCTAGAAGGTTGAGGAACAGAAAAAGAGGACATGAATAATAATGTCATTCAACAGAACCAGCTCCAAATGGTAAATTTATACTGATAAATTTCTGTCTGCTTTTAGTCTGCATCTCTTAGCAAATTAAAGGGTGAAAGGTAAATATGACCTGAAGTCAATTTTGACTCCTGGTGACTTTGTGAATGCATCCATATGGTTTCTTGGCAACAGTGTGGACATGGTTTGAATGTAGTTTGATTGTTGTTGTGAGCCATCCAGAGTTGTGCTTCAAGATGGGCAGCCATACAAATCTGTTAAATAAATAAATGGTTTGCTGTTGTCTTCTTCCACAACGTCTTTTTTAAAACTTCCCTAACTAGCCTACAGCCCTGTTATTCCTTGGAGGTCTCCTATTCAGGCACTAACTAGGCCCAACCCTGCTTAGCTTCCAAGCACAGACAAAGTTGGCCAGATGCTGCCCCCTGCTGAGGTTAAACCTTTGTGTCTATGCACACTTACTTGGGAGTAAGACTCACAGAACTCAGCGGGACTTATTTTCAAGGGGGGGGGGGGAAGGTTGTACAATGAAGAGACCTCTCTGCATGGCAAAGCTACAGATAGCATGATACTACCCTTATTTCAGATCAAGCGTGCATACTTGAAGAGAGATTTGCTGATTGAAAAGTTCCATACCTGGATGGGGCCAGCTCTTGAAAATGTGTTTATGCACCGTTAAGAAATAGCTTCCCACCATACCTGGCTCTCTCAACCCCATTTTCCCCTGTGCATGTCAGGACAGCCATTGATGTCCGCTTAGTACAGTCACCAGACAAGGAATAGGTTTGGCCAGAAATAGTGCTATGCTTGATTCTTGCACAACTCTGCCTTTTTCTCTGAAAGATAGCTTAGTCTTATTTACCAGCACACAGCTGAGCTACTTAGTGCTGCTCTGTTCACTCCCAAGGTCTTGAAATGCTTCTGAATAGACATCCAGTTCAGATGGATGAGTTCTTTCCTGGGCTAATGCAAAACAGGAGGAGAACACCAAAGTGTAATGTCTAGTGTAATGTCTCAATTTTTCTATTCCTTTTCAGGCAGCACAGAGAAGCCTGTCCCATGCCACTCACCTAGATGAGAAATCCTAAAACTATGCCGCCAGATTAGAAGACAGTCAAAATATCCCAGTCAGCACCAAGAGGTATGGCTCTTGACCCTCAAGCAATCTGTCTGTTATTCTATTCAAAGGATGGCATGGTTGCAGAGCAGCAGGGCTGAAGGCATACTGTTAATTGTATGTAATGGAAGGTATGCATTTTACTTATGCTTATCCCATAGGTCAAGAGACTTCACTCCTGGGTTAGTATATCTCCATGCCAACCTGAGTATAGGGTTCTAGGCCCACTTCTCATTCCACAAATTGTCCAAGAAAGAGGGTGGCTCCCTATTTGTAAAGCCATCTTCTCAAGGCTGAAGCCCATGAACCATGCTGCTGACGTCTGAGTGGCTGGGTCTTCTTTCTAGTTGAGGGATGCAGGAAGGATGTATGTGCATGGGGAAAAGTCATGCAGACTAGTTGTAGAGTTTTCATTGCTTTGGTTTAAGCTAAGTCAGCCTATAGGGGCAAAAGGCATGTGGTAGAGCCCAGAAGGACTGCATAACTTTAGAAGAGAACCAAAGTTTGAATTCTTTTTCACATGGCAAATATAGATGTACTAAACCTGCAGGTGTAGGTGGTTAAAATCCAAACAATGTGATTTTTAGAATACCTGACTCCTTACCTCACCAATCATGCCATTCCAGAAACCATCCACTATTTTACCATGTTTCCCATTTGTCACCAGATAGAGATCATAGGAGAACTTCACAGTCTTGGCTAGTTTCTTTAGGATGTCAATGCAAAAACCTTTGCAGCAGAGTTTGGTATAGGGGTCCATAGGTTCATTCCCACTGAAAAAAGATGAGAAGATACTTGACAATCATGCTGATCCTCTGTGTCCCCTGAGCAAGTCATGCCAGGACTATGCACAATTGCTTAAGACAAAGCCCTGAGACATCCTAAACTTAAATCACTGGGCCCTGGCATGTTTCCTCAGAGCCACACTGTAGTCACTAGCCCAGTTCCTCTACTCCAAAATAAATACAGCTAAAGCATTACTTGGATGTGGCAGTCTTGTATCCTTACTGCTGTCTACAGTCCCGTTGTCTTTAGAAAAACACAGTCATAAAGAATCAGCTTGCCAGCTTAGCATGGCACTGAATAATGGGGCATGCCATCACAGGCTATGACACATTGTAAATGAGCTGTGTAACTTCATCAGTGGCTAGAATGGCTAATGTTCCACATTTGTTATTTTCTAGAGCATCTCCTCGGCCATTACAGAAGGCTGTGATGCCTACACACAAATGCTCACACATGCTCCAGCTGTCAACATGTACTTTTTCTATTATTGTTCTCTCTCTCTCTCTTATATATATATAAATTCCCCTCTCACCCCTATGAGTGGTATGTGTCTTCCTCAATCTCGGGTCCTCTACCAGAGGCCTGGGAGTCTGAGGGGTCCGCA